ATGCTTCGTTCATAAAGAAAGGTTTTGGATACCTGGGATTTTAGGCTCTTTATGGTGTCTATTGTAATGAAATATTATATTATTTAATAAATGTTATTAAATTATTATGCTCAAGCAGATATATATAATATTTACCAAGAAATAAGTGAAAAGGAACAGAAACACAACATTTAATAGAGAAAACTGTCGTAAAAATGGAAACAATTTTATTTTCTTATGAAGTATTTTGAATCATGGAAATGTCAACTATAAAGAACTCTTTTTATGGTTTGTTTACAAATAGTTAACTACCTAAACAGAAGGAGTATAGAATATAATCTTAGAAAGTACTTATTACTCGGGAAAAGGCACATTGGTACTTGCCGTTGGTAGGTTTCGAACTCGCACTCTCATGCATGAGAAGCGGGCGTCTTAAACCTCCGGGCCATTACATAGCTTTTTTACAATTTTGGTCACTATTAGGTATTGCTTGTGACTACTAAATTAAGTCTAACTTTGTAGGTCAAGTCAGATCATAGGTAAAATAAAATAATAATTTGAGAATAAAACGAAATAACATTTATTAACATAAATAACACACTAATTAATAAACAGCTCCACAACCACCCATACCCAAAGCTTGGCGGCTAACGATACCATTGGCCATACCAGGACCGTATCCAGCATTAGCGTAGCCTACTCCAGCTGGGTAAGCGGGACCAGGAGCGACTCCTTCGCTCACAATACCCACGGCGCCGTTCCCACAGCCGTAGTTAATACCACCAGCACCAGCGCTTGGCAGGGCTCCCTCTACAGCCACAGCTCCTAAGAACGGCAGTTCACCGTTTACAGCTAAAGCACCTTCGATAGCATTCTCCGAGAAGACTGTGATGCCAGTTGGTGCGATGGGAGAGAAGCTGCTCACTGCAAAACTTCCACCGCTACTAGGGGCTATAGCGTTTGGTAGTCCAGGGTTGGCGTACGGTCCATAGCCTGCTCCAGCTCTATAGGCCAAGTTTCCAGCTAAGGCTAACTCTTCAGCTGCTAAAGCAGGTCCAACGTTGTTGATGGCTCCAATGCATTGTCCAGAGATGACCTGTAAGAGAAATGGAATTTAATCCAGTCCAAACTTTAGCCAATTTGCGGCCAAACCTTAAATAGAAATCTCATTTAGTAATTGTTTGGAATTGCGATCGATATATGAGGTTCGCCCTTGATCATAAAGAGGGCTTTTAACCTAGTGAAATTACTGTATTTGAGTAACAGTGACTATCCCTCCAAAGACATAAGGTATAACACAAATTATATTATATTGTTTATACTGAATTAAAAATAACTGCCACGATGGCCGAGTGGTCGCAAGTGCGACTGGGCAAAGGGTCTCGGGTATGATTCCAGGGTCGGCAAAAGTATACTTAACTGGGTTTAAAAAAAAATCTCAATAGTAGCACGGAGTTTGGAAATGTGCCCGGTATATGACAATAGGCTCACCCCCTATTACATGGGACTCATAACATAAACAGTGAACTGGGGTTACTTTTGTGTGCACCTCTGCATACTCCTTCGGGGATAAAAGGCGTGATGTTATGTTATGTTATATGTTATGTGAATTAAAAATTTTCAAAATAGGTAACCAAACATCAAACAAAGACCACCAATCAATTGAGCGTAAGAAAAAAAACAAGAAATAAAATATTAACCTGGACAAAGCAAGCTGTAGCGCAGAAAACGATGGTAAACTTAGCAGCCATATTGGATTTATGTTCCTTCAGTTAATTCAAAGAATTGAATGATAATTACAAGTTGAATAAAGAAGTATTTATACTGATTAATTACTTAAATATTTAGTAATCGTAATGTAATTAATTAATTTAGTAATCGCTGTAATATTTTATTTGTGATAAGATTGTGGTTATTTTATTACATGTTACAATAGACATAGGAAGCAAATCTTTTGCTCGACCTGATGGTTAGAGGTCACCCTACCTTCAGTATATCTACAACACATCAATTCAACAGCCTATAAGTGGCCATTGCTGACCAAAGGCCTCTTCTCACACGGAGAAGGTTTAAGCATTAATCACCACGCTTGCTCAATACGAGTTAACGATTTCAAACTTTTTGAAATTATAAGTTCAGGTTTCCTCACGAGGTTTTCCTTCACCGTTTGTCAGTGGTGTCTAAATTATCTTAGAAAGTACATATAACTTGGAAAAAGGCACATTGGTACTTACTGTTAGTAGGTTTCGTATCCGCAAACTCATGCATGAGAAGCGGGCGCTTTAGACCTCCGAGCTACCACGATTCATGACACGATATCTACAACATTGAAGATGATTGTAGTGTAGGAGAGCCATGCTTCGGCACGAATGGGCCGGCTCGACCGGATTGATACCACGACGTCACAGAAAACCGACGTGAAGCAACGCTTGCGTTGTGTTTCGTCCTGTGAGTGAGGTTACCGAAGGCCCAATTACCCTCCCCTTCCCCAATCTCCCCAATTCATGTCATAAAAAAGCAGTGGACGTCTTTCGGCTGTTGGTGATAATGATGAGGGAACTTTACACTTATATAAGCAATTTATTATTTATACGCCTCACGGCAAAACATAGCTAGCCATATTTATTTATTTATTGTAACACCATTATGTATATAGGGGCAATTCCCTTGACGTCGGACGGCACCTAACGCCGGACAACTAATAACCCTCTAATCTCGATAACTAACAACCCGAGCGATTCAATTTTTAGGGGGAAGTCTCCCAGTGGCAGACACCTGAGATTTTTAGGTGTCTATAAATTGAAGCGCTCGTGTTATCAGTTATCGAGATAATATAAGTGTCCGGCGTTAGGTGCCGTCGGCCGTTACGGGACTTTTCCCTACCTATGTTATACAAATAAATATTCTGATTCTGATTCTCTACTTATTGTTCCCCAAAAAGGTAAAAGGCGCATGATGTATGGAAATTAAATAAAAAGACAACACCCTACATTACCTATCAACATAAGATTTGTGATGTACGCACAAAAGCCTATACCGATAAGACAAAGATAAGAATTTTTGTGCTTTATCGAAACATCTAGCAATTTTACTGAGAAAAAATCTCGATAATGTTCAATATTCCTATCGAAATATATAAATACGCTATCTCATGTCAAATTAATTCATTATTATATTAAGAGTAGTCATTATATCACTTCAAACCATGATTACGGGGTCGCCAGTTGTGTTTTTGGTCCAATTCTGCTTGATCCAGGTTGGTAAATCATTATTAAATTGATTAATCTAGTTTTGATTGCTTTATACATTATCTTTTCATATTAACTACAATCGCGGGTTACTCACGTGAATATACTGGGAAGAGCTCTACTAGTTTCGAACCACAGACGGGGTTTTCCTCATGAGCAGCAGGCGCGGTCGCGGCGATGTCACGCAGCTCACTGTCATACTAGTAGTTCAAAACTAGTAGAGCTTTTCTCAGTATATTCACGTGAGTAACACGCGATTTTAGTTAATTTAGGATGTCTCACGATAGTTATTATAAAAGACACCTTTTGACGTTGTTATTTTTAAAAAAACAATCCACTCTAGGGTTTTATCCTGTGTCGTGGATACAAACACGCAAATTCACATACACATGACACCCAGATCCGAAACAACAATTTGTTGATCACACAAAGAGTTGCTCCGTGGGGGAATCGAACCCATTACATGTAGCGCGACAGCCGGTTATCCAGCCACTGCACCAACCGTGCAATTAGTTAGTCGCTTAATTCTTAAATTGTAATCCAAAGGAATGCTGATTCAAACTCTGTCAAGCACCAATGAGTTTTTTCAAAATCGTATTTACTTTCTAAGTTTATAAAGATTACACTAAGCATTGGAAGATACACTTTTTTTATGGCATAAGCCGGTAAACGAGCACACGGATCACCAGATGGTAAGCAATCGGCGTCGCCCATGGACACCTGGAACACCAGAGGCGTTACAAGTGCGTTACCGGCCTTTTGGGGATTAGGAGTTTGAGGATCGTTGGGGATTCAGTGATTGGGGAGATTGGGGAAGGGGAGGGTAATTGGACCTCCAGTAATAAAACGAACAATAAAATCTTAACCGTTCAATCTGCATTTATATGTAATGTATTCGTCCAATAATATTTTAATTTTTTTCCAGTATGCGCTCAGTCAACGACTCAATACACCAACTATGAACAATATAAACCAATTCAGAACCAACGCTCGCAACACCCAATTACATGGACAAATAACAACTCCAGAGACTGGTCCGGGTTTGGAGATGTCAGCCAAGGTCCCAGTCACACCAAACCAGCAAATCAACCTTGGCACACACGTTGTGCCAAACAGTAATGATTTCTTACTCACCAACTTGGGTGTGTCCAAGACCGTCATCCCTAGAACGCCTCTAAATGAAGGTCAAATTACAACTCAGACAACTGGCCTCGTTAAAGACACACTGGCCAAGGTTCCTGGAGTACCCAAGACCCCAATCAACCCTTATAAACCCTTATTGGCAAACAACAACGCTTTCATGAACCCAAGCATGGCAAACATAGGTTTGGGCATCGGTGTGTCCAGACAGGCTTTAAGCGGAGCTGGTATGCCAAGTCAAATGATTAATGGAGCTAGTATGCCAAGCCAAATGATTAACGGAGCTGGGGTGCCAAGCATGCCGTATGGCGGATCTGGCACCGGTGACGTAGGTGTCACTGGTGAATTGCCAGTGAATGGCGTGACATCGGTTAAAGGACAAGTGCCATTGACTGGCAAAGTGTCGTTTACTGGCAATGTGCCATGTGGCGGTATTGTCACAATAAGTGGTACATGTGGCGCGAGTGGCAATAAAGTGCCATATGCACAGGGGCCATATGGCAATAAGATTTACGGATATTAATTTTAATTTACAATATTGTAATATTTATTTACTAAATATTTATTTGTAGTTTGTAAAAATTAAATGTATTGAAATAAAGAAAAATGTGTAATACTTATTATGTTTTTATTATTATCCACCATGATAATATGTCTAGTATTTTCATTTATTTAGCTTTATGTCTTTGTTTTTAAATACCATAATGCTCTGGACGTGTAAATACATAAGTATAGCAATGGACTCGCCCTATTACATGGTAGAAGTCAAGTCACAACACAACAGACATCACGCTCAAAATCTGCAGAGGGATCATAGATACTCCTGATCTTCACAATGAGCTGATTCGATTATAGTGTGGGAAAGTCATGCTTCGGCACGAATGGGCCGGCTCCACCGGAGTGATACCACGGCCTCACAGGAAACCGACGTGAAACAACGCTTGCGTTATGTTTTGTCGTGTGACTGAGGTTATCGGAGGCCCAATTACCCCCTAGTTCCCGTCTCCCGAATCCCCGAATACTCCACAATCCTCAAATTCCCAATTCCCAAAAGGCTGGTAACGCTCTTGTAATTCCTTGGTGTTTCGAGTGTCCATGGGCGGCGCCGATTGCTTACCTGGTGATCCATCTGCTCGTTTACTATAAAAAAAATATGTCCCAAATAACTACATACGCGTTCGTAGGCACCGTCTAATATCCGTGCCCGCAAGTCATACGGTGGCCCGGGCATCGTCCCCCATTCCTCCCGTCCTGTCCGCGCTCAATAGTCTCATGGAAGCCTACCTCGACTGTGACCTATTCATGGACGAGTTACTAAAAATGTTAGTCTCATTTTTTGTGAAAGTCTTAGAAGTCTGTGTTGAAGTGTATAATTAAATGTTTTGTTTTTATTTTATTGTGATGAAGGTACATGTTTGTTTGTCATCCACTATTGTAACCGTCTGATTTGTTTTATGTTTTTTAATTGAGTTTTAATTGTATTTTTATTTAATTAGTTTTTTTTTCTTTGTCTGTTATTGTAACTGTTTGATATCTTTGATTTCTCTTTGTGTGTGTGCAAATGGCGGTTGGCGCGGTGGCTGGGCAACTGGCTGCCGCGCAACGTGTCGAGGGTTCGATTCCCGCACGGAACAATTATTTGTGTGATCCACAGATTGTTGTTCCGGGTCTGGGTGTCATGTGTATTTGATATTGTTTGTTTGTAAACACAACCACGACACAGGAAAAAACCTAGTGTGGGGCAATGTTTAAAAAAGAAAATAATATCTTTGTATTTTATTATTTTATTTATTTATTTTATTTAACACTTTTGTACAAATTTATACAATGGCGGACTTAATGCTGAATGGCATTCTCTACCAGCCAACCATAGGGTGATGCAGAGAAGTGTTACAGTACGTTTTAAACGAAGTTTGCGAAAACGAGGGTGATAAATATACTCCTTTACCTCCCCTTCAAGTGATATAAGGTGCAAAGTTAGATATTGCATGTATGAAAATTACTGCCCTAACTGCCTCGTTGGCCGAGTGGTTGTAAGTGCGACTGCAAGGGGTCTCGGTTTCGATAACCAGGTCGTACAAAATAGTACTGGGTTTTTAAAAAATCTCAGTAGTAGCACAGAGTCTGAAATTGTGTCCGGTATATGGCAATAGTCTCACCCCCTATTACATGGGACTCATAACATAAATAGTGAAAAGTGGGTGTTACATTGTACAGTAGCATTAAGTGCCGGAATGTGCACCTCTGCCTACCCCTCAAGGCGTGATGTTATGTTAAGTTATGAAAATTACTGCGATAGCTAAAATAGTGCTATGCATATAGAAATGTTGAGTCGACATTACGTGTCGTTCAACTGTATCTGCATCAAATTCCATAAATTATTATTGAATCAGCTAATAAACATTCGATTACTCTATATAAAATAGTCGTGGTGGCCGGAGGTTTAAGACGCCCGCTTCTCATACATGAGGGTTTGAAACCTACCAACGGCAAAGTACTAATGTGACTTTTTCCGGGTTTTATGTACTTTCTAAGATCATTTAGACACTACTGACAAACGGTGAAGGAAAACATCGTGAGGAAAACATTTTTTTAAGGGGGGAAAATCATCCAATGACTTCTACCGCCTTAGTGTCAGACTCTTACTGACTAAAAACCACCCCGTTCCTTCTCCTGCACTTCGAGCCGGAGCCCCGGTTACCCGTTAAGTCTTCCGCGGCTGCGTATTGTGAGGAAACCTAGACTTATAATTTCTAATTATAAGTTTGATATCGCCAACCCGCAATGAGCAAGCGTGGTGATTAATTTTTCCTTTGCTCAGCAGTGACCACTTATAGGCTGTTGATGATGATGATGATGTTATTAATTTCAGTAAACAAGCAAGTAATAGTCTAGAACTGTGAAGTGGTATTAAAATTTATTCAAATTATAGAAACTCGTGAAAAAAGATGGCTCCCAGCAGAATGAACTAATTGATTTATGAAGAAGTGGCAATATACCGGTAATATAATTCATGCCCCCGCCTGGGTGAGGCGGGAGGGAGTGTCAGACTCTTACTGACTAAAAAGCACCCCGTTCCTTCTCCTGCACGTCGAGCCGGTGCCCCGGTTACCCGTTAGGCTCTCCGCGACAACTTTGTAAGACTTGCAACCAATAAAGCCAGCAGGGAAGTCACGTTGAACAAAAACCAGGTAACTTATCATCAGTAAGTATAAAGGTTATTCAACAATTCCGATAACAGTTATCGATATATAACGAAATAACTGATTTCTTAACAGTTATTACGAATCTATTTTTGTAATAGTTTAGTATATAACGATGGAACTTTGATTCTAAATCATTCAGTTGTATCATTTCGATTGAAACTAATTCAAGATGGCCGCTAAACTGTTCGTTCTGATTTGCTCCTCAGCATGGTTGGTTCAGGTAAGATTTTCTACATAACATCACGCCTTTTGTCCCCAAAGGGGATAACACCCAGTTTTCACTATTTATGTTATGAGTCACATGTAATAGGGGGTGAACCTATTGCATATACCAGGCACAATTCCAGACTCCGTGCTACTACTGAGAATTTTTAAAAACCCAGTAATACTTTGCCCGACCCGGGAATCGAATCCGAGACCCCTTACCCGGCAGTCGCACTTACGACAACTTGGCCAATGAGGCAGTCTCTAAACCATCTTGTAACTAAGAGTAACTTAACGCCATTTAATACCTAAAAATATAACCCCTTACATTACCTTTACGTTGCCTGTTTCACAAATTACCTTATTTTAATTACCTCTATAAATATAAAATTTTAATATTCTATTAATAATTTAATAAAATTATTCTTCCCTCCAGACCATTTCTGCCCAAAGCATCGGTGCAGTGAACTGCTTAGCTGCTGAAGAACTGGCCTTAGCAGGCAACGCTTTAGCCTATGGTGCAGGAAGACCAGTAGGCCTAGCCTACGCAGGACCCAACGCTTATGGACTGGCAGGCAATGGCTTTGTACCAAGCAACGGTGGTGGATTCGCAGTGAGCAGCTTCTCTCCCATTACTCCAACTGGCATCACAGTCATCTCGGAGAACGCTATCGAAGGTGCTTTAGCCGTGAACGGTGAGCTGCCGTTCTTAGGAGCCGTGGCTGTAGAGGGAGCCTTGCCAAGCGCTGGAGCTGGTGGTATTAACTACGGCTGTGGTAGCGGCGCTGTTGGTATCGTGAGCGAGGGAGTCGCTCCCGTCGCTCCCGCCGGTCCATACGGTGTCGCTCCTGGCGGTAGAGTCTATGGACCTTCTCTGCCTGGTTACGGTCCTGGCTTACCTAGAGCCGGTCCTGGTTGCGCAGGAGTATTTTAGTTGTAACTCGCTTTAATATTGTTGTTTGTTTTAATTATATTGAAGTTAATTATTTGATTTTTGTTGTATTATTTCTGTAGTGATAAGCTCTGAATTTTTTAGTAGCTGTAGCAATGAGGGAAGGGTGATGAAAGTCATATTTTTGTTAATATTGGTCGCATTCTCGTTAGTCCCAGTTATTAGCTTTATTGTTCTAGTTGTGATCTGATTTTCAAAACTAAATTCGATCTGGCTAGTCACATGAGGTTAATTGTGTACCGATTTGAAATTAATGGCGTATTGGAGTGTGAAATATTGACACTGTGTTGTGTCATATTTACAGTGAGAGTATATTCTCATTTACAGAGGGTTCCGTTAATAGAGGTTGACTTGGAATTACGTATGGAATTTGTGCGTAGAATAAGAATGAGTAAACAAACAATGTTATCTCAGTTACAGAGGTTTATGCATATAAAATTTACTCGCTGTCTCAGTTATAGAGGTAACTATGATGATAAATCGAAAGAACAAATCCCAGATATAGAGGTTTACCTCGTCCCACTAACAGAGGTAATTCAGTGCCAAAGTATTGGGACCTCAGCAGTTCCAGTTATGGAGGTTTCTCACTTATCCAGGTCCCACTTAACCAAGTTTTACTGTGTAATTCTTTGGTTATTTATTTAACTGTATTGATTACTCGGTTTTTTGTTGTGTTGGGCACACGACAAGAGGGTATTAAGAAAAGACTATTAAGGGTCGCCGTTACCGAAATCGGTAAGGAGGACTATATATTATATTCCAGTTATAGTTAATACTCATACTGACTGCCTCGTTGGCCGAGTGGTTGCAAGTGAGATTGCCGGACAAGGAGTCTCGGGTTCGATTCCCGGGTCGGCCAATGTATTACTGGGTTTTTAAAAAAAATCTCGGAGTCTAGAATTGTGCCCGGTATATGGCAATAGGCTCACCCCCTATTACATGGGACTCATAACATAAATAGTGAAAAGTGGGTGTTACATTGTACAGTGGCATAATGTGCACCTCTGCCTACCCCTCCGAGGATAAAAGGCGTGATGATATGATATGTCAGTACTCATACATTTGACATACGGTACACAGTATTGAACACGTGTTAAGAGTCTCATTCAAAAGTGGATAAGAGCTCACTGGTCAACCAGAAGTCCAGACTCAAGTTAGTCTGAAAGACAAGAATATTTGACGAAAGAAGATTTAAGAATATACTAAACTATGTACTTATTTTTACAGATAAACAAAATTGGAGTGTCTGTTTGTAACATTAAAATAACCGCTGTTTACTACATGCGTGACTCGTGACTGCCTCGTTAGCCCAGTGGTCGCAAGTGCGACTGCCGGGCTCTCGGGTTCGATTCCCGGGTCGGGTAAAGTACTAGGTACTGGGTTTCTTTTTAAATCTCAGTCGAAGTCTGGAACTGCACTCGGTATATAGCAATAGGCTCACCCCTATTCATTCATTTCATTTATTCAATAAATAATTTACATTTACATTCATAATTTAAATTTACATTCATAATTTACATACATACATATGTCATAGTCCCATGTAGGGACTCATAACATAAATAATAAAAAGTGGGTGTTACATTGTACAGTTTATTTTATTGCATTAATTATTTTTTTTTATTTATTTATTTATTTCAGGCATCACAGGCCCATATCGAATACTATAAACTAATACATTAAAGATTTATAAATACTATACATACATTACAAACAAAATAATTACTCAATTAAGTACTTACCGTTGATATCCATCCCCTAAATTTGGTCATACAAAAGTATTCTCTAAACATTAGAAATAAGGTCTATAATGTATTGTAATATTAGTGGAAAGCGGTCACCGGTGACCGCTTGGGGATTTATGGGTTAATAACTAGATCACACGAATAGACGGCGTCGTGTGTCGCACAGTGTCCGGTAGCCGACCTCGGAACCGTCGGAAGACTACCCCTCGCGGCCAAAACTCCTCTTTCATTAAGGTTGGCAGATGTTCAGTCGGCACCCTGACTACAAAAGACTTGAAGTGACATAATGTGCACCTCTGCCTACCCTTACATGGATATAGGCGTAATGTTATGTATGTTATGTACTACTTGCATATGAGTATACATACAATACACATACCTAAATAAAATACAATTTTTGTCTGTTTATTGTCTATTTGTCTATTTGTACTCGCTGATCTCTGGAATAACTGGACCGATTGTGCAAAGCTTTTATTGGCAGGTAACTTATGTACTAAGGAGTAACATAGGTTACTTTTATTTTGGAAAATTGAAACAAAAAAAGTTATGTTCCATAATTCATGTTTTACGCGTACGTAGTCGCGAGCAACAGCTAGTTTTCATAGTCAAAGTCAAAATCATTTACCTATTTCAGTTAGACCAGGAAGGTACTTTTGAACGTCAACAATAAAAAATTAGAAGTGAAGCTAGTTGCTCATTCCAAGGTGTAGATTCCTATGTAGAAGAACGAGCAAGAAACTCCATAGGTTACTCTTTTTCAATCGGGCTTACAATACAATTCTCTGGTCTCTAATTCCCAAATAAGTAAGACAAATTATCAAAGTAAAAGGCTGTAGAAAATGGACACACGTTTTTCCATACAGGTTCAAAGTTCAAAGTCAAAGTCAAAGCATTTATTTCAATTAAATAGTTTGGTACTTTTGAAACGTCAACAAATACAAAATAAATAATAGTCTGTCAGTCAGTCCGTCGGTGAAACTAGGTGAAGCTAGGTGCTCATTCCAAAAAGTAGATTCGAATGGAGAAGAGCGAGCAAGAAACTCCATTCGTTACTCTTTTAAAAAAGTATGTTCTACAATGTCTCTGATACATATTTCAATACTGTACGCATATGTAAGAACAATGCAAAGACTCGCTTGACGCATTATACTAATAACTTACTTTAAAAAAAATACATAACTTAATTCCATAGAACAACCCAATGCTACTGTATCTATTTGTCGCGGAGAACCTAACGGGTAACCGGGGCTCCGACTCGACGTGCAGGAGAAGGAACGGGGTGGTTTTTAGTCAGTAAGAGTCTGACACTCCCTCCCGCCTCACCCAGGCGGGAGCAGTCATTCGATGATTTTCCCCCCTTAAAAAAAAATGCTACTGTATCTATTTATATCTGTATATGTATATAAAATAAAACCTGTTTCCCGTTGTCACGCCATAACTTTACAAATTCATAAGCGTGTAAGTTTGTTTAGTACTCCTTATCACGTCAAAGCAGCTGAAGGGGTACAGGGGTAGATTAAAAAGTGTAGAATAACATATAAGCTGCTTTTTATTTCACAGTATCGTGGGCAAAGTCGCTGACATAAGCTAGTATATTATAATTTGACAAAGCGTACTTAAATCTGAATTTTCGTTCGTTAGACTCGATATAACTCGAGAACTGCTGAACCAATTTAGCTAATTTTGGTCTTGAAATGTTCGTGGAAGTTCAGAGAAGGTTTAAAAGGTGAGTGTGGAAAGATGAAGTTTAAGTGTGGGAGTGCCATGCTTCGGCACGAATGGGTCGGCTTGACCGTAGTGATACCGCGGCCGAACAGCACGGTCGTGTGAGTGAGGTTACCGGAGGTCCAATTACCCCTCTCCTTAGTCTCACGAATCCTCGAATTCTCCACAATCCTCAAATTCCGATTTCCCAAAAGGCCGGTAACGCACTTGTAACGCCTTGGTGTTTCGGGTGTCTATGGGCAGCGCCGATTGCTTACCATCAGGTGATCCGTCTGCTCGTTTACCGGCTTATGCTATAAAAAATAATTGTCGGCGGGACGAATTTTGCCGGGTCAATTAGTGTTGCAATAATTAATTGACCATTTGGAAAATTCAAATTCATATTTTTATTGCATTAATCAAAGCATTATTAATTGTGCATTATTAAGTATGCATTAATAATTGTGTAGAGGCAGTTTCAACATGAAACCCGGATAGGGCACGGCCACATAATTATGAAAGCAAAATATAATCTAATTAATTTACTTATTAAATAATTATGCTCGTTGGCCGAATGATCGCAAGTGCGACTGCCGGGCAAGGGGTCTCGGGTTCGATTCCCGGGTCGGCCAAAGTATCTATTAAAAAAAATCTCAGTAGTAGCACGGACTCTGGAATTGTGCCCGGTATATGGCAATAGGCTCACCCTCTATTATATGGGACTCATAACATAAATAGTGAAAAGTGGGTGTTACATTGGACAGTGGCATAATGTGCACCTCTGCCTACCCCTTTCAGGATAAAACGCGTGAAGTTATGCTATGTAAATAATTATGTGATGAATAAATTCCTATTGGAATTTGATAAGATTTTATCTTTATTTGTCTATTCTAATAATACATAATGTTGTTTTAAATCATGAGATCCTGTATAATATATTTATTTTGTTGTTTTAATTGATCAACCTTTGTTGTCATAATATGAATTATTTCTTCTGTTTGTTCCAATTGTAAGTTCACCACCACATAGATTTTGTTTATGGGAAATTTGTATTTGAAAAGTGTTTAACTCGTCGAGTACCGTCATTATAGACACAATAGGGTAGACGACTAATTTTTATTTTAATGTCCGTCTGGTAGATTATTTAAAAACATTAGACACGTATTTTTTATTTTCTTACGGAAACGAATAGTTTCGAAGATATATTGATTTGAAATGTCGCGTGACGTCACTTCTCAGTACATTTTATACTAAGAAATGACGTTTTAGCCCCCACTCCTAAACTTTGATTCGTTTTATCTAAGTATTGTTTTATTATACAACAAAATAAAAAAATACGTGTCTAATATTTTTTTATTACCTAAGTTACGGACTAATTATATTTTTAATTTTCATACCCTGTCATCATCCCCATTATAGAACAATAGGTTGCGGTCACCGGTGACCGCTTGGTGTTTGACAGTTTAATAATTTAAACTTAGGCTAATAACTATTCTCTTGTCATGATTGTTACACTAGCAAAATTAAATGCATATTGTAAACCGATTTGTTTTATTTATGATTGTAATATGATGTGTAAATAGTCGGTGTTTTTTTTTTAAGGGGGGAAAATCATCGAATCACTGCTCCCGCCTGGGTGAGGCGGAAAGGAGTGTCAGACTCTTACTGACTAAAAACCACCCCGTTCCTTCTCCTGCACGTCGAGTCGGAGCCCCGGTTACCCGTTAGGTTCTCCGCGACGTGTAAACAGTCGGTAGCTGACCCTAGATAAAATAAATAAAAAAATAAAAAAACACATTCTGAACATTAACAATTTATTTACAATAATATAAAGACTTATCGCTAGAACGTGCTTTTAAACTAATCAAGAAATCATAAAGATGCAATGCAATGTAGCCTTATTATCTGATAAAAAAAATATCATACAATCATATTATTACATAATACGTTAAGAAATATTTAAGTATATAACTAGATGTTATATAGAAAATAATTCATTCAAATATAGGCCCAGTGTTTCGGGGTTTTAAGTGCTTTTTATTATTTATTTTGTAGATAATTCAAATATGGCGTCTTTGTTTATTTTATCTGCAGTTCTGTGTTTAGTACAGGTATGTATATTTTTTATGGGATAAGCCGGTATACGAGCAGACGGATCAACTGATGGTAAGCAATCGGCGTTGTCCATGGACACCTAAAACAACAGAGGCGTTACAAGTGCGTTACCGGCCTTTTTGAATTGAGAATTGTGGGGATTTGGGAGACTGGGAAGGGGTGGTAATTGGGACTCCGGTTAACTCACTCACACGATGAAACACAACGCCAGCGTTGTTTCACGTCGGTTTTCTATGAAAATATACCTCTATACCTATAAATATTAATATTTTAACTTAGTCAATACAATTTATTAAAGTAAGAGTCTGTCTCGTTCGCTTTAGTTAAGAGATCGCAACGACTGCCAATCAAGAGGTCTCGTTTCATTTCCATGGCGACCAACACATTTTTGAGTATTTTTATATTATTACAAGAAATATTTTTTAAGTATATAGAGTATTTATTTAGGCACAAGTCGGTACTTAAAAATATTTTGTGTTTTACAGAATACTTTCGGCCAAGCACTTGGAATCAACAAAGGATTCGGATTAAATGGACTCCCTCCCAACGGAATCGGAATTGCCAATGGATTAGCGCCTAATGGCTTACTTGGCAATGGCTTGGCGGTAAATGGTTTGAGCCCAAACAACTTTGGTATTAACAACATTGCCGCAAACAATTTTGCTGCAGCTAATCTAGCTCCCAATAACTTAGCTGGTACTAACTGTGCTGGTAATAACTTGGCCAATGTAAACTTTGCTGCCAACAAATTTGCTGCAGCAAACAGCTTAAATAATGCCAACTTAGCAGCAAATAATCTAGCTGCCAATAACTTTGCAGTTAATAATTTCGCAGCCAATAATTTTGCTGCCAATAATTACGCAGCCAACAACGTGGCAATGAATAACTTAGTTGCTAATAACTTGGCTAACAATTTCCAACTGAACAACAACTTAGCTTATAACGGTCTTGCCAATAACATGGCAGGTTTGGCCGGTGTGCCAAACGCTGTCAATGCTGGCTATGGTGATATCGCCGTCGTTGGCGAGCTGCCAGTTGGTGGCAACACTGCTGTCACTGGCAACGTGCCAGTGATTGGCTACGTGACTTTCGAAGGGACTCTGCCAGCCGGAGGTCTAGTCAGTGTTGCCACTAACAATAATAATTGTGGTTGCGTTTAACCTCTTTAGATTTTAATAGTTACTTAATCAGTAATTATTTTTAAAGTCATTATTTTTAAAATATTGTGTGTGTTTATTTATTGATGTAATAAATGGAATTTGATGTACCTATTATTTTTTTATTTTATTTTGGTAGTATTAATAAAATATCACTTAATTAAGTAGCTTGACCATTTATGTCTCAGTCAACTTACTTAATTAATCATTTAACTAACTTCGGACAGAAAATAAGGATTGCCATTCAACGTGGCGTGATCCTTATTCGATCCTGTATGCCAGGGCTGTCCAAAGTATATACCCTCACGGGCTAATTAAATTCCGTGCGGAAATCGAACCCGCGACACATTGCGCGGCAGCCGGCCCAGCAACCACACCAACCGTGCAGTCTAAATTAAATATTTAGACTGCACGGTTTCAATTGTGCATGAATCTAACTTGAACTTAGTTAACTTTTCTTTTAACTTAAATTTTATAATTATCAAAAAGGTGATATGTCATTTTAAATTCAAATTAGTTATTTGTTTATTATCTCAAGAAATCTGACAGTCTCGGTAGCCCAGTGGTTGCAAGTGCGACTCCGGGCAAGTTTTTGGTTCGATTCCCAAGTCGGGCAAAGTACTACTAGGTTTTAAAAATAAATTCCCAGGAGTAGCACGGAGTCTGGAATTGTGCCCGGTATATGGCAATAATTATGCAGCCAATAACGTGGGAATGTATGCAGGTCGCTTCCAACCGGCCTATCTGGAAGATCTTGGGGGAGGCCTATGTTCAGCAGTGGACGTCCTATGGCTGATATGATGATGATGATAACTATGACAATAGGCTCATTCGGCAATTGGACTCATAACATAAAAAATGAGTGTTACATTGTATGTACATTCGCATTAAGTGCTGTAATGTGCACTTCTGCATACCCCGTCGGTGGGAAATGGTGCTGTAATGATATTATGTATCTCAAGAATTACAATATTTGTCTAACATTGAAGCAGCCCAATATGTTATAATACAATCTATTTATACGATACAATTTTACTAACAACTTTAAAGTTGAAAAACCATGCTTCTTCACCAAATCAAAAGTCCTGACCGAAGTACGTATACCACGTTTTTCAAACATAGGTACACAAAATAAAAAAGTATGATTGACAATGATCATTTTTAAAAACCCTTTATTAATAAATAAATTAAATAAATACATGTTGTAAATTACAAATACTAAATAGCTGTTGGATTTCCACAGCCATAACTGACAGACGATTTGCCATCCGATGGCACATTGCCATTAATGGTCACCGTGCCATACAGTGGCATTCTGCCAGACACTGCCACTTTGCCATTTACTTGTAAATTATCTGCCATAATTTGTAACCCAATAGGTTGGTTGTTGAATGATTTGCCAGATACAGTAACTGGGAGAGGACTGTCTCCAAAGTTATAGTTCACTCTGTTTGATTGTATGCTATATGGCACATTGCCAATAGGACTGGCAAAGTTTCCTAACAGATTACCTCCTGTGATTTCGTTTGGCATTATAGTGCTAGTGATAGAATTTACTAAATTGGTTTCTGCAATGTTAGCCAACGTATTGGCAATGGTATTTGTATTGGCAAAGTTATTGTTCAATAGATTTGGGTGGTAAGTTAGCCCATTGGTCAAAGGTTTGGTTGCCATTGGTAGATTTTGATATTGGTTACTGGCAAAGGTGTTTGGTGAATATGGGCCAGTATTAAATGTATTTCTCAGTTGATTTATTAAGCCAGGTTGGAATACTTGTGCCGATGCGAACTGTAAAATAAAGGAAAGATTCTATTAATATTGTTTTCTAGTATAAGTTAAGTTCTGGTTTTGACTAGTACTCAAAGTAAATTTTAATATATAATTTTTCTGATTGTTAATACATTTCCAAAATAAATATTTTGTGGATATTTTGTAGAAGCCCTTCGTGTAGTTGATTCATTATTAGATTTAGAAACATAAAATAGCGCTATTGATATAATTGAAACCAATTGATTATCTTTTTTATTAATCAAACTGAGAAACATGTGAAGGTATATAAAGAGAATAATTATGTCTCGTTTAGAATATTTTAAAATGATTATTTTGACTGCCTTGTTTGCCGACTGGTCGCAAGTGCGACTGCTGAGCACAGGGTCTCAGATTCGATTCCAGGGTCGGGAAAATAATTACAGGGTTTTTTAAAAAAAATCTCAGTAATGGGAAATGGAATCTGGAATTGTACGTGGTATATAGCAATAGGCTCATCCCCTATTACCCTATGTAATATAACATAAATAGTGAAAAGTGGGTGTTACATTATACAGTGGCACTAAGTGCTGTAATGCGCACCTCTGCCTACCCCTTGAGGGATAAAGGGCACGCTGTTATATAGCATTTTTACAAAAATAAAAAAATATAAAAATTACCTGGACAACAGCCATAAAAAACCAACAATACCAAATAACCATTTCTATAAAATAAAAAAAGAAAAAATAATCAAAAACAGCCACTCAGCTTCAATACAACAAATCCGCTTCAAAATCTGCAAAGCTTTGCCAAATAAATATCAGGGCGATCAATTTTCTGCAGTGCTAACATGAAAGTGTTGCAACAATATATCTTTAGAAAGATAATTTTAGTTACTTAAATCACGAAACCATCGATAATTTAAAAGCGTGATGATACGTATGGAGTGATAGGACATGTATCAAATCAGATCTCTGATAATAAAAGAGATTGTTTTATCATTATCTTTAAGTGTGGAAGAGCCATGCTTCGGCACGAATGGGCCGGTTCGACCGGAGTGATACCACGGCATCACAGAAAACTGACGTGAAGCAACGCTTGCGTTGTGTTTTGTCGTGTGAGTGAGGTTACCGGAGACCCAATTACCCTCCCCTTCCCCAATCTCCCCAATCCCTGAATCCCCAACGATCCTCAAACTCCTAATACCCTCAAAGGCCGGTAACGCACTTGTAACGCCTCTGGTGTTCCATGTGTCAATTGGGCGACGCTGATTGCTTACCATCAGGTGATCCATCTGCTCGTTTAACGGCTTATGCCAGAAAAAAAAAATTGTAGTAAAATAGGAAAAGATTTTAATAAAAAATTAAGTAGGTAATTAGTTACGTTCCATAAAATGCATTTATTATATTGTACTAAGCTAAAGAGTTTGTTTGTGTGTTTGAACGCTTCTGTTAATTGGGTGTTACATTGTTTTCGCACAATCGTACCAATAAAACTGTGTAACTAGATAATTGTATTGTGAACCTGATTGGAATAGAGTAACCTGTGGAGTTTCTTGCTCGTTCTTCTCCATAGGAATCTACACCTTGGAATGAGAAAATAGCTACACTTTTAAATTTCTATTGCTGGCGTTCAAAAGTGCCTTCCGGGTTGAATTGAAATAAATGATTTTGACTTTGACTTTGACTTTGAATCTCAGGAAATACTGGACCTGTAGAGTTATGGATGTTAACATGCTGTCAACAATAAAAGACATAAATATGTACATCTATAAACTAGAACTATAACATAGATTAAAAATGGAAGAAGAGTAACGAACAAAGTATAAAAAAATCCTCTTTCTTTCCTCCTTTCTATTTATTTTAGCTTGAAAACCTCCTCTGTTTAACGTTGGCTAAAAATTAGCACTGATCCTAATTCTGCCAGAAGCTGGCACTTTACCGCCAAATACCACAGGACCAGGTTCTTCATCTTCATTTTCATCGTCATCATCATTACTACAATACCCTAAATTACGAATTTCAATAAAACTCTCCTCCGTAAGTTTCGACAATGCCATTATAATTGGCAAAGAGTTGTCTGGCATTCTGATTTTTGGCACTGGCAATGGCATGTCGCTTTTGTCGCTTTTTATAGATGGGTAGGCGATTTCTGGCAACGATGTTACTTTTGGCAAGTTTATGTTTGGCAGTATTGAGTCGATTGGCCAATCTGAGTCTGGCAAAGTTGGTTCGGGTGTGACAACAACTGGTGTAGATGATGCGGAGTAGGAAGTCACTTCTGGAAAATGAATGGCATATTATTAAAGAATTACTAATCCTGTTAGATTTTTTATTAATACTTAGAGACTAACTTAACCCGATCGGTCTCGGAGTCGCGGAGAACCTAACGGGTAACCGGGGCTCCGGCTCGACGTGCAGGAGAAGGAACGGGGTGGTTTTTAGTCAGTAAGAGTCTGACACTCCCTCCCGCCTCACCCAGGCGGGGGCAGTCATTCGATGATTTTCCCCCCTTATAAAAAAAAACCCGATCGGTCGAATCAAGGCTCGTTGATCAGTAACTATATTATTTGAGGCCATTTGACTAATGAGACTGTCTAATCGTTTTAATAACATAACATAACATCACGGCTTTTATCCCCGAAGGAGTAGGCAGAGATGCACATTATACCACTGTACAATGAAACACCAACTTTTCACTATTTATGTCATAAGTCCCATGTAATAGGGGGTGAGCATTTTGCCATATACTGGACACAATTCCAGACAACGTACTACTACTGAGGTTTTTTTTAAAACCCAGTAATACTTTGCCGGAAACCCGAGACCCCTTGTCGTGCAGTCGCACTTGATACCACTCGGCCAACGAGGCAGTCATATTAATAACTTCTTTAATAAATAGATTTTCAACTCTATTACCTTTTAATAAAAAAGAAAATTGACAGCAAGCTATTTGGTATACCTTAACGTGCTTGCATCATTGCCATGATACTCACTGTTATATCCATTGTTTCCAAAGTCCCCTCTGATGCTGACTCCTCCTCTCCCCTCTACTTGCCCTCCAAAATGAACAGAGCCAGTTGTCCGAGGATACGAAGACCAGCTACCCATCATCATGCGTTGATAGTACCATGGATCGTACAGATATGGATTTTGGTAATTAGGTACTGGAATCACTTCTATATTCTGTAAAATAACATGAAATGGATGGAGTTGACATTTTTGTACTGAAAATTGTCCGAAAATAAGTTTTTTTTTAAATAATTTAATGACTCCTCCCGCTTGGCTGAGGTGAGAGCGAGTGTCAAATCTAAATTTGACTAAAAACGCCGTTCCTACACCTGCTTCAAGCCGGAGTCCTGGTAACCTTTATGTTTATCCGCAGCCCCGGAAATTTTGGTGATGTGTCAAAGCGCTTATGTATTTTTTTAAACGGAGAAAATCATCGAATGACTGCTCCCGCCTGGGCGACGCGAGAGGGAGTGTCAGACTCTTACTGACTAAAAACCACCCCGTTCCTTCTCCTGCACGTCGAGCCGGAGCCCCGGTAACCCGTTAGGTTCTCCGCGACAAGCGCTTATGTATAAGTTACTGAATTTATTTGTTTCATCACGTAATATATATTGAAATCAAACTCATACATATAGAACAATCCTAGTTATTTACGTCTAAATGTTCTTGAAATAAAATATTAATTTTGAATATTACATAAACTTACCATTGCCGCCAAATTAGGTAATTCATCAACCGGTATGTACGCCATGATGTAGTCCTTGCCAGGGCTGGTATAAACAGCCTGGAAAAGATATTTTACTACATTATCCTCTTGTCTGTTCAAAGTTGCGGCCATAATGTTTTATATCGGGAGCCGGTGTTTCAACAGATAAGAGGTGAACCTTTGAAACCGTAGAAATATTCGTTAACTAAATTTCAGTGACTTTTGTCCACTCATCATTAGCATTAGCCAGAAGACGTCCACTCCTTGACAAACACCTCCCATGTCAACGACCTAAAATACAAATCTGTATCTATTGTGACGTAAAAGTATATCCCTATCAATCCTTTGGCTATTTACTAGTGAAATGTTATTTATTAATTTTTTATATATGATAGGTGTTTGGCCTGACGGCAAGCCGTAATGTGGTCTACGATTTTTTTATAGCATAAGCCGGTAAACGAGCAGACGGATCACCTGATGGTAAGCAATCAACGCCGCCTATAGAAACCTGAAACACCAGAGGCATTACAAGTGCGTTACTAGCCTTTTGAGAATTTGGGAAACGATGAAGCACGTCTAGGCGGTCATCGCCCCCATTCTATGTCATCATGTCATTCTGATCCTGATCATGTGATTATGATGTCACCTGTGCCCTAGCATGTATTAATTTGATTTATAATTAAACAGTCTCATACCGAATTTAAACGAGTGCAGATTATTTCACTCCTCACACAAATACTTTACACATACGGTGCTAAGCTACACATTTACGGTGACCCCGACGTGATCGTCCGATTGATGTATTGATTTTTTTCGGAAAACGAGAACAAATTACTTTTTTTATGGCATAAGCCGGTAAACGAGCAGACGGATCACCTGATGGTAAGCAATCGGCGTCGCCCATGGACACCTGGAACACCAGAGGCGTTACAAGTGCGTTACCGGCCTTTTAGGGATTAGGAGTTTGAGGATCGTTGGGGATTCAGGGATTGAGGAAATCTCCTCAAGGAAGGGGAAGGGGAGGGTAATTGCGCCTCCAGTAACCTCACTCTCACGACGAAACATAACGCAAGCGTTGCTTCACGTCGGTTTTCTGCTCGGCCGTGGTACCACTCCGGTCGAGCCGGCCGATTCGTTCCGAAGCATGGCTCTCCCACACTTAAATGATAAAAAAAACCTTTAAAGTTACAATGGCGACTCATCCAAAACCACAACCCGAAGTGGTCGAGCTAGCGACCGTAACAGTGTCTTCAAGGATTTCTGATTTTTGGCGTGATCAGCCGCCACTGTGGTTCGTGCAATGCGAAGCAGTGCTGAGTCCTCAAAAGCTAAGCTTCACAACCCTATGCAACCTTTTACCACTTGGGCCTTAAGGATTATTTTGATTACTTCTGAACTCGTTGAGTACACAATTAAAGAACATTAGGTTGCGGTCACCGGTGTCCTCGCAGTGTTTGAAAGTTTAATAATTATTACCTACGTACTTGCCTGTACCGTGAAAGCTGCCAAAATAACCAATTTGACAAAGAGAATCATTTCGAATGTACACACAAACACAATTGCACAAACTTCGTATTACTTACGTGACCCATTTTTATATGAAACGCTTCGAGTTATCAAAAAGTAATTAACTTAAATAAGAACAATTTAATATTGTAAATAATAATTAATATTGGGTGTCTGTTTGGACATATTTACATCAACAACTTTAGGCAGGCCTTCGCTGGTCTATTGGCTTTTTGAGCACCTGTTTTGTCATCATTATTGCCCGATTAACTTATGTGGTAGATACGTCATACAAATTACGTTCTTAATTCTTTATCTCTCGGGCAATTCTCTGTCCGCCGGGCTAGGAGTCTCGAGTTTAATTCCCGTGTCGGGCATAATATTATTGATTTTTTTAAGAAAACTCAGTAGTAGTACGGAGTATAGAAATGTGCCCGGTATATGGCAATAGCCCACCCCTTATTACATGGGACTCATAAACATAAATAGTGAAAAGTGGGTGTTACATTATTCAGTGGCAATAAGTGCCGTAATTTGCACCTTTGCCTACCTCTTCGGAGATAAAAGGCGTGATATTATGTTGCCTAGCTCAGAAAATTTCCGTTTTTGCTTTCCCTGGTCGTTGCGAAATTAAATTCTATGCGACCATAGTAGTAGTAGTAAACAAAACTGGTTAAAAGTGAATGTTTTTTTACCTCGTATCGAGTGAAACTGCGTTATAATATATTACTTATTTTATAAATAAAACGTGACTTTCGGACTTGTGTTTTGATATCGGCAATAGGTATTTCGAAATATTAATTGAAACACTTAATACACTTCTTCTTTGTGACTACTCTCACAGAAAACAGACGAGAAACAAAGCTTGCGTTGTTTTTCGTCGTGTGAGTGAGGTTACCGGAGGCCCAATTACCCTCCCCTTCCCCAATCTCCCCAATCTCTGAATCCCCAACGATCCTCAAACTCCTAATCCCCAAAGTAACGCAATTGTAACGCCTCTGGTGTTCCAGGTGTCCATGGGCGACGCCGATTGCTTACCATCAGGTGATCTGTCTGCTCGTTTACCGGCTTATGCCATAAAAAAACTTCCTTTAATAAAATATCCTGTATAGTCTTACGTTGGTACTTGTCGTTGGTAGGTTTTTAAGGTGCTTTCCTGATTTATTTGAAATAAATGATTTTGACTTGGACTATGACTTAAAGATTATAATAACAGCGAAGTTTGTCAGAGATAGCAACAAATAAAAGTCAAAATTACGTACAAAATTTTATTTAAGTACATTTTTAAAATACATTTAGTATGAAATAAATAACCTTAAATAATAAAACAATCACCCATTTACAAACATGGACTATTCAAAACCGTCACTGTCTCAGTTATGCCAGCCACTGGCAAGCCATTTAAAAATGGCAAATTCTCCAATCCCTCTATTTTCAAATTCTTTACAATTTCTTGTGCCAAATTCAAATTATTAGCCACAAAATTTGATTGGCAATCATTTGCCACAATATTTGATTGGCAATCATTTGCCAGCAAATTTTGATTGACTGCCACATTATTGTTTAGTGAATCACATTGAAAATTATTGACAGGTATTTGAGAAGATTGATAATTGTTTTTCACGAAACCGCTATTTATTATATTTTGTAAATATGCCTGTGTTGGATCAATTAATATTCCATTATTGGAACGTGGTAATGAATTTATTGCGGCACTATTAAATGGAATGCCATTAAAATATTGATCAATCACTGCCATTGGCATGCCAATTACATTTTTTGTGTCTGGCATACCATTTCCATTGGCAATATTGATATATTGCGGGTCATTGACAATGGGTGTTGGTATGTTACTGACTGGTAAATTGTAGCTTGAAAATTGGTCGTTAAAAGGTAGATTAATTGGCAATGAATTGGTACTTTTACTATTAATTACATTGTTGCCCTGGCAGTTGTTTATATTTGATAATTCTTCAGAAACGCTTTGAACTATGTTAGGTAAAATGTTAGGAACTGGTAATTTGTTATTATTTAAATTATCTACTGGACAGTTATTTTGATTTAATCCCTTAAGATTAGTAACGCCATCAGCAAAATGAAAACCAGTTATCCGAAAATTTTTGATGTTTGGCAACAAAGTGTTGATTGGTAAATTGTTTGATGACAAAACATCGTTACATGGCAAGTTGTGTACTGGCAATATGTTTCCATTTGGTAAATTGTTTAATGGTAAAACATTTGCTAAAGAATTTGAAGACACTAAATTACTATTTGGCAAATTATTTAACGGTAAGTTATTGCTGTTTGGCAAGTTAGTTGATGGCAATACATTACTAAATAGCAAATTATTTTGCGGTATTCCATTGTTAAATGATGACGGTAGGACTTTACAAGGCTCTTTTTCAAAAGACTGTAAGGTACTTGGAACTAGATTATTACTAGGCAAGATATTAGGTATTGGATTAGTATTTGGTAAATCATTTCCAGGATTTGGTAAATTACTTAGATTTTCAATAACATTATTAGAAACTGGCAAGTTATTAATAGTTATTCCGTTATTGTTTATGCCGTTAACATTCGGTAGTAGTCTATTTTGAGGGCCAATATTTATATTTGAAAATGGTAAATTAATTGGCAATACTCTGCCATTTACAGCATAGTTGTTAGGAAATCCATTGTTGTTGATATTCTTTGGCAATCCGTTTCCGGGAAGATTGCCGTTTGGCATGCCAATTCCGAGACCATTTGGCAAGTTGCCATTTTTACTCAAATTTACAGCTGGGTTGTTGAATTGCCTTTTTGACCTGATTAGGTCTGCCAATGGGATATACTGCAGATTATTCAGAACATCTAGACTGGCTACATCTTGTTTCAAGATTTGAGCTGATATTATCTGGAAAAAGAATTAATACAAGTTAGGTATCACCTGTTTCCAAAGCAGCTTTTTAGTTGGAAACTTTAACAAATGAATTGTCTTGCTCTAGGGGGAGGCGAGAGGGACTATCAGACTCTTACTGACTAAAATCCACCCCGTTCTAACTACTACTCCTTGTGATCCGCGTCTGACACTCCCTACCGCCTCACCCAGGCGGGAAAAGTCATTCGATGATTTTGCCCCATAAAAAAAATATAATAATAATACTCTATGTCGGAGCGCGGAAGTAGCTATTTTTTGAGGGGGAAAATCATCAGATATCTGTTCCCACCCTAGGGGCGGTGAGAGAGACTTTTATTGACTAAATACCACCCCATTCTTACTCGTGCCTCGATAAAGCCGCGGTGAACTGCTAATCCTTACGGCCTTTTTTCTTCTCCGGGCAGGATGAGGAGAGAGGGACTGTCAGTAATGACTCTGACTCTTACTGAGTAAATACCACCCGCTCCTACTCCTGCTCTTCGAGCATTTTTTTTTTTGAGGGGGGAAAGTCGTCCAATGACTTCTCCCGGCCAGGATGAGGCGAGAGGGAGTGTTAGACTCTTACTAACTAAAAACCACCTTGTTCCTACTGGTGCTCATGGAGCCTGAGCTTCGGCAACCCGTTAGGCTTTCCGCGGATCGTTAAAATGTTACAGACAAGATCTGGTATTGAAGTAGTCTATTTTCAGCAGTGAACAGAAATTTGGAAAATGCAGTTTACTGAAAATTATGTCTTGGAATCCAAGGTATGGACAGAATAGAGTTTGACTTTTGAGATTAACTTAGATTACCGTTACCCGTGCAACGAGGGACTCGAGCCTGTGGCCTCTTGCTCGGCAATTGCACTTGCAACCACTTCAACAACGAGACAGTTGAGATTAAAATTATAAATTCGTAAAGACTATATATCTATACATCAATACATCTATACATTATTACATCTATACATTCTATACATATATATAATGAAATCGTAAAAAGTCAAAACTGTACATTGAATTTTTTTAAAAAGAATACTTGAGGCTTGATCTACAATCGATACCGAAGCCAAAAATATGGTTTTTAGAATTTTTGTCTGTTTGTCTGTATGTATGTACGGGATGAACTCCAAAAGTACTGCATGGATTTACTTCAAATTTTGCATGAATATTACTAACAAGTCGCGTCAACATATAGGCTACATATTATCATGCTATCATCTACGCGGGAGGAGCTGTGAATCACAATTCCACGCGAATAAAGTCGCGGGCAAGCTAGTTATTACACAAAGTAATAAATAAATTACGTACCTGAATTATACTAAGACAAACACCAAATAAACTTTTAACCATGGTTCTATCTATACACACATGATTGTAACAAAATAAAATCGAATTATAGTTACAATTTATTATATTTTTCTATTAAAAGTTATCGATAATACGCGTCCTATCGACATTGATATAATGAATTAATGGAATCGCTTCTGAGATGCAGACGTGATATTTATATAGTTTTTATTTCGATAAGACATATCTATATTAATAATTCCGTCAAGGTGTATGGTAGACTCGATCGAAACATTATCTGAATAACAAAACACAAAAAATATCGATTTCGAGTCGACAACTTAAATCCGCAGAATTCGGAGATTAATTCTTTCGTTTTATTTTCGAAGTTATATGTACTTTCTAAGATTATTTAGACACCACTGACAAACGGTGAGGGAAAACATAGTGAGGAAACCTGGGCTTATAATTTCTAATTATAAGTTTCAAATTGCCAACCCGCATTATTGATTCAACTTTCTCCATGTGAGAAGAGGTCTTTGGTCAATAGTGGCCACTTATAGGCTGTTGATGATGATGAGGCACACGTGGTGTTGCCACAAGCGTCACGATAATATATTTGTTCTTAGACGAAGAAGACGAAGTCAATCATTTCAGACGTACCTATCCTTCATAAGTGGGTGTTGTTATTGGTCATTATTTTTCTTTCCATTGCCACTTATACGGTTCCTACTATTCAAAAATTCACTTCATATGAAATTAGAAATCAAAATACCTATAGGTAACATTTTTAACAATGAATTTAGTACTACACTAACTACCATATTTTTATAGTTATCAGAATCGGTTCAACCAAAACAATAAAAAAAACAAAATGAAATAAAATTCGAAGCAAAAACATAATTTATTTAAAATAAATAATTATCAGAGTCATCATAAAAATAAATAAAAACAAAAATCACCTCTAATTCTAAATTCAAACGTATCTGACGTTTACAGGCCTGTCATTCCGAACTGTCACCTGTCGCTTTGACGGGCGAATGACGTTGACGTTGTCAACCTTCTTAAGACATTTGCAAGCGTTGGCAGCTAGCAATAGACTCTCTAAGGCAGAATTTTTTAACGCTTCCACCATGTACATTCTCTTATTAGGTAGTTTAGAACATTTTGGCGGCATTTTTTGTATCACAGAAGCTACTGTGTTTAATTTTTCGACTATTGGCATGTTGGTTGAGTAGGTTGATAGTAAGGTACTTATCAATGGTTGAGTCGTAGTGGCTTTATGTACATGTGGTCCGTATGGTATTGGTTGAGTTCTGTACTGGGCTTGGGCGTTCTGTAAAATTAGGTAATGTCCAATTAATCAGTGTGTTAAAATAAAAATAATGAGATTAGTCTATAATGTAATGTATGAGGAGGTCGTCTGTACTACTGCCTTGAATATTAGTACTCGGGATTACACTTTATTCAATCAAATAAACCTGAGACGGTCTCAGAGTCTCAGCGAGACTTCATATTTATATGATCTTTTGTAGGTATTTCAAAGATTAATTAAATATTTTAAATTATACTTACATTAATCAACAGTAACGCTGGGACAGAAATTAACAAAAGAAAATTGAGTACAGCAGCCATATTTGATTTTTAAATCACTATTCCAAATTCAAATATGAACGTTAAGTATTATACCTACTTAACAATTTGAAAATTCGACAACTTGTTTTTTTATCTTAAAAAAAATAATAATTTCGTTTATTTTTTTATCACTTTTTTAAAAGTAAACCGCATAGGAAGCCCTCTTTATATTTTATGATATAAATGTATTCGTCTACTGTTTATTTATGCCTACCGTTATCAATACATAATCGTTATCTTTATATTTAAGTAATAGTTATGTCATATTACATTACATTAATATACCTAATGATTAGACAGATAGATATTACACAATTTGAGTTGTTAGTGTGTAATAGTAGCTAATTCGACTGCCAATCAGGGAGATTAGGTACTCTTAAATCCGATTCCGATCTATCGACATTAGTATTGTGATATTTCGTACTCTTGAGTTACAACACTAGCGCCCATTGCATTGCGAGAGACACACCGGGCGTCGGAGATCGCAAGACGATCTCCGGCCACCGTAAGCACGGGCCTGCGCACGGCGAGCATGGGTGACTGGCCGCCCGACCAGAACCAAACCCGAGCATACGCCTCAAGGAGCCATCAGACCACCACAGATGGGGCCCAATACGGCTGATGCCGATTCGGAGCCGTGGAGGACTTAACAGGTTGCCGGGGCTCCGGATCGAAGTGCAGGAGTAGGAACGGGGTGGTTTTTAGTCAGTAAGAGTCTGAAACTCCCTCTCGTCTCAACCGGGCGGGAGAAGTCATTTAATGATCCCCCCCCCCCTAAAAAAAAGCGCCCGTTGCATTCGTATTGCGTGGATATTGAATGGACTAAATGGTATTGAGTTCAGCTTTACATTCCGTACTCTGAATGCTATTTTAACAGCTACGATAGGGGTTGTATAGTTTTGACATTGAATAATTATTGAGATTTTATTGGATTGAAATTGCATTGACATTGAGATTGGTTTCACGAGTAAGCACCCAGGTGAAGGTATTTAGGGGTGCTTTAACATAAAAAGATATGATTTGCTATAGTAACATAACTGATTGTCTCGTTAGCCGAGTGGTTGCAAGTGCGGCAGCCGGGCAAAGGGTCTCGAGCTCAATTGGGATGATGCCAATTCCCTAGTTACATAGTTTTGTTGATTCAATTGTATAACAACAATGTAACACCAAACTAAAGTCAAAGTGATCGAAAAAGAAAATAAATAAGGACCTTAAGGACAATAAATAATACAGTCTGGAGCTGACCAGTCCTGGTTGAAGGCGCCCACGAACATAACACGTACCTACAAGTGTGGGAGAGCCATGCTTTGGCATGAATGGGCCGGCTCGACCGGAGTGATACCACGGCCTCACAGAAGACCGATGTGAAACAACGCTTGCGATGTGTTTCGTCGTGTGAATGAGGTTACCGGAGGCCCAATTATTTATTTATTATTATTTTCAGCCATGATCGTCCCACTGCAGGGTAAAGGCCTCCCTACCCTCCCTCCTGGAGGCAAAATTACCCCCTCTTTTTCCTCAATCCTTGAATCACCAACAATCGTCCAATTCCTAATCCTAAAAGGCCGGTAACGCGCTTGTAACGCCTCTGGTGTTCCAGGTGTCCATGGGCGACGCCGATTGCTTACCATCAGGTGATCTGTCTGTTTGTTTACCGGCTTAACCCAGAGAGAGCACCGCCGTGCCCTCAGGGAAGTGATCGGCGATGGCGACCTCTCGCGTCCGGGCCTAGTGCGGGCCATGATGCGGAGCGAGGGGGATTGGGATGCCGTCTCCTCCTTTTGCGAAGCCGTCATGCTAGCTAAGGAGGAGGCGGTACGCGTGAGGCAGCGAAGCGCTGCCTCCTCGCAACCCAGCCATCGCGAAGGACACACCGGGCGTCGGGGATCGCGAGACGATCTCCGGCCACCGTAAGCGCGGGCCTGCGGACGGCGAGCATGGGTGGCTCCCCGTCCGACCAGAAACAGACCCGAGCGTACGGCGCGTCGCGTTCCGCGCGCGCCTCAAAGAGCCATCAGACCACCACAGATGGGGCCCAATAGGGCCGATGCCGATTCGGAGTCGCGGAGAACCTAACGGGTAACCGGGGCTCCGGCTCGACGTGCAGGAGAAGGAACGGGGTGGTTTTCAGTCAGTAAGAGTCTGACACTCCCTCCCGCCTCACCCAGGCGGGGGCAGTCATTCGATGATTTTCCCCCCTTAAAAAAAAAACCCATAAAAAACATCAGCACCGCCCAACTCAACCATATTATAGGGAATCGAGCAATCCAATGCACGTGCCACTGCCAATGAGACCTTTGAGTGAGCACCTATTTTCAACCTGGAAGTCGAACTCGAAACCCCTTGATCAGTTACTTCACATTCTCAACTTATCACTTGTATCATGCGTAATAGATAGTATCTATAATAAAATATTATCACAATACAATAATGATGAAAAATAATAATTACAAAATGATTTTATTGATAATTATTAACTATATAAAGTGGAGCGTATATTATATCAAACACAGTTCACAATTGATTGTTTATTATAAGTATTTTAGTTTTATATAACTAAAAATGTACTCTTTTATTTTGATTGTCCTCTCAATATTCGCTGGCGTAAGTATATAAGCATTTAATTTTTATACTCTAAACTAGTGTCATGGTGGCCCGGAGGTTATGACGCTTCTCATGCGTGACACCCTCAGGGGTGACTCAGAAGTGTTGAAAACCTACCAATGGCAAGGATCAATGACTTTTTCCGAGTTATATTATGTACTTGCTAAGATTATTTGGACACCACTGACAAACGGTGAAGGAAAACATCGTGAGGAAACCTGGGAGCTTACTCTTGAATCCAATTCCGATCGATCAACATTGGTATTGTAAAATTTCGTACTCTTGAGTTGCAACACTAGCGCCCATTGCATCCGTATTGCGTGGATATTGAATAAACTAAATGGTATTGAGTTTGGTTTATTCCGTACTCTGAATGCTATTTTAACAGCTACGATAGGGGTTGTACAGTTTTGACATTGAATCATTATTGAGATTTTATTGGATTGAAATTGCATTGACATTGAGATTGGTTTCAAGAGTAAGCACCCTGGACTAATTATAAGTTTGAAATCGCCAACCCGTATCGTTTCAAAAGTACCAAATTATGGTGTAATTGAAATAAATCCCTTGACTTTGACTTTGACGCAATGAGCAAGCGTGGTGATTAATGCTTAAACCTTCTCCGTGTGAGAAGAGGCCTTTGCGGCAGTGGCCACTTATAGGCGATGATGAACAAGTTTGATATTTTTAGAATTTTTATTAAAGGCAACAAATTAAAGTTTTACTGTTAAGTCTTACGAGATTCAGTACCTTTCAGACGTTTCAGTATCACGAAACAGAAAGATTATAATAATATATTTACACAACGAAATTAATTAAAATCTACTATAATTATAATGTCGTAATTAAGTGATCTCTATCTTACAGGCGCAATGTCAAATCTTCGCACCCTATCCGAGGGCAGTACCTGCCATGGTGCCAAGCTGTCCCTGCGGAAATCCCGCTCCAGTGCCATTGCCAGTTCCAGTGTCTGTACCGGCTATGTTGCCAGGCCGACCATGCGCCAATCCGCCACTACCTGCCATAGTGCCAGCGTGCGGCTGTGGCAATCCTGCGCCATTACCAGTACTAAAAACACCTTTGGGTTACGAGCCGGCGTTTAATCCCGTAATCGAAGCTCCATTGCCACTGTCTCTGGCGATTGGCAATCCATTTCTGCCAGCTGCGTCGCCAGTGTCCGCGTTGGCACCATTCTCGCCATTACTGCCGCCTGCCAACACGTGTAGCCGTTGCCAATATCTAAAGAAGATCCCTATCCCACCTCCTTGTATCTAAATGGTGTGTTTATTTATTTTAGTTTTTGAATAAATTATTTTGTTGATTTAATATTGTATTTTTAATGCGTTAATTTGTGTATTCATTGCGCCCTTTTTTGCCAACGGAAAAGCATATAAGCTATTATTATGGTGGGTATAACGCCTGTGAATGCCTAGTTGGTAGTCACAAGCTGAACAAGGGGGCTCGGGTTCGATTCAGTTTGGACAAAATGTTATGCCGTCATTTTCCAATTTTACCATATTTTTTACAGTATGGCAATAGGGACAACCTTTTCTTCTTTTTTATGGTATAAGCCGGTAATGAGTTTGTTTCGGAATTTCTTCTCAGAGTAGTCAGTAAGGAAATATCGGCCTCATCGTTCGCTTGATAAATTTGACGCGTAGAAGTGCTGCCTTGTAGCCTATTTGCAGAAATAGATTGAAATAGTTTCAGCCTTTGCTAATATAATAATACAGTGAAACCTGGTTAAGGGCGACATCAAGGGACCTGCAATGTCGTTTCACTTATAGAGGTATTCCACTTACCCCGTGTCTCAGATAGTCTCATTTACAGAGGGTTCCATTAATAGACGTGGACTTGGAATTACGTGTGGAATTTGTGGGTAGAATAAGAATGAGTAAACAAACAATGTTATCTCAGTTACAGAGGTTTATGCATATAAAATTTACTCGCTGTCTCAGTTCTAGAGGTAACTATGACGATAAATCGAAAGAACAAATCCCAGATAAAGAGGTTTACCTCGTCCCACTAACAGAGGTAATTCAGTGCCAAAGTGTTGGGACCTCAGCATGAGTTCCAGTTATGGAGGTTTCTCACGTATCCAGGTCCCACTTAACCAAGTTTCACTGTAATAATCCTCAGTAGCAAGGTGCCAGTGCAGGTCTCATATACCAGACGAAGGGACTATACATTTGACATAGACCGGACAGTACCGCTGATACACCTTCCTGAAGCATTTAAATTGCGATCCCGATTATGGCAAACTCCCAGATTGTATGTAGAGTCAGTCCAGGGTGCTTACTCATGTTCGTGAACGGGCGCCGTCAACTGGGACTGGTCAGCTCCAGACTGTATTATTGTCCTTAAGGTTATTTTCTTTTTTGATCACTTTGACTGGATTTTGGTGTTACATTGTTCTCGCACAATCCAAACAGCAAAACTATGTAACTAGTAAATTGTATTGTGAACCTGATTGAAAAAGAGTAACCTATGGAGTTTCTTGCTCGTTCTCCTCCATAGGAATCTACACCTTGGAATGAGCAAATAGCTTCATTTTTAATATATATAATTTTTTTTGACGTTCAAAAGTGTCATTCTGGCATAATGATGAAATAAATGATTTTGACTTTGACTTTGACTTTGAAACCAATCTCAATGTCAATGCAATTTTAATCCAATAAAATCTCAATAATTATTCAATGTGAAAACTGTACAACCCCTTTCGTAGCTGTCGAAATAGCATTCAGAGTACGGAATATAAAACCAAACTCAATACGATTTAGTTCATTCAATATTCACGCAATACGGATGCAATGGGCGCTAGTGTTGCAACTCAAGAGTACGTCAAGTCAAGTCAAAGTCAAAATCATTTATTTCAATTAGACCAGTAAGGCACTTTTGAACGTCAAAACAAAATATTTAAATACTAAATAATAAGAAAAGAAAATGTGTCAGTCTGTAAGTCAGTCCTCTAGTGAAGCTACTTGCTCGTTCCAAAGTGTAGATTCCTATGGAGAAGAACGAGCAAGAAACTCCATAGGTTACTCTTTTTCAATCATGTTCACAATACAATTTTTGGTTACATTCTTCCGTTGAGTTCAATAATGTGAGAACAATGTAATACCAATATTTGGTCAAGGAGACGGAAAAAGAAAATAACCTTGAGGACAACAAATTTAATACAGTCTGGAGCTGACCAGTCCCATTTGACAGCGCCCGTTCACGAACATGACACGTACACCAGCACCGCCCAACTCGACCATGTTATAGGGAATCGAGCGATCCACTGCCCGTGCCACTGCCAATGAGACTTTTGAGTGAGCATGACAACTCCAGGCTGACACACATGCATTCTACTAGTCTAATTTAATTTAGGTAGTTACAGGGCTCTCACATTTACAATAGTTACCTATATAAAGTTTTACAGTGTGTACATTTGAACAAAATGGCTGTATTTGACATGATTGGAACTCATTGGAACATCAATGTTTTTCGCTATCCTGTGGAGCCGGACCAGCATGCCTCCAAGCATTTTTATCCTCTATGTAATCATTAAGTTTGTAGTATGCTTTTCCGCATAACGTTTTTTTAATATATAATTTAAATTTTGACTCATTTAAATGTTGTATTTCCTCCGGAATTTTATTATAGCATTTAACACAGAATCCCATAAAGGACTTTTGTACTTTTGTCAATCTAAATAGTGGCTGACTTAGTCTATCCCTATGTCTAGTTTGATAGTGGTGTCTGTCAGACACTTTACCAAACAACTGTAGGTTCTTCCTAACATACATAATGTTTTCATAAATAAATTGACATGGAACGGTCATAATGTTGATCTCCTTAAACTTTTCTCTGAGAGATTCGCGACGACCCAGGTTGTAGATAGCTCTGACGGCGCGCTTTTGTAAGATAAAGATAGACTCAGTGTCCGCAGCGTGTCCCCACAGCAAAATGCCATACGACATGATGCTATGGAAGTAACTGAAGTACACTAGTCTTGCCGTGTCTATGTCGGTTAACTGTCGGATCTTCCAGACAGCATAAGCTGCAGAGCTTAATCGTCCCGCTAGAGATGTAATATGAGGACCCCATTGCAATTTGTCATCTACAGTAATTCCCAGAAATGTAGTCTCTTTTACAAATTCTAATTTCCGACTGTTTAATAATATGTCACATTCCTTACTTCCAACATTTGGCAGAACAAATCTAATACATTTCGTTTTCTTATCGTTTAGCACTAAGTTATTTATTGTAAACCAATGTTGAACCTTCATCAGAGCATTATTTACGTCGTCATAATTATTTGTTCGTCTATTTATTTTAAAAACCAATGATGTGTCATCAGCAAACAATACAATATGTGGTTCATTTTGAAATAAATATGGCAAATCATTTATATATGTTAAAAATAGGAATGGACCTAGTATTGAGCCCTGCGGTACGCCCATAGACATGCTAGCACCCTGTGAGTTTACTTTGTTTACCTGTACTTTAAGTTGCCTATCCTGAAGGTATGACTTTAACAGATTCAGCGATACACCCCGAATGCCGTAGTGTTCCAGCTTCAGCAATAGTGTCTCGTGTTCAACACAGTCGAACGCCTTCGAAAGATCGCAAAATATTCCGATGGCATCCCGTGCCTCTTCCCACGAGGCAAAAACCCGCTTAATTAGTGCTACCCCGGCATCAGTCGTGCAGCGTCCCTTTGTGAACCCGTATTGTTGGTCATGAAATATAGTATTCATGTTAAAGTGACGCAGCATCTGAGTAAGCATCAATCTTTCAAACACTTTACTGAGCACTGGCAAGATAGAGACCGGCCTGTAGTTATTAGGTTCCGCACTATCACCGGATTTAAACAATGGCACTACTTTACTATGTTTCATTAAATCTGGAAAAATCCCTTGATCTACACTTTTATTAAAAATTAATGCCAAATGAGGCGCTATAGTGTCTATAAAAGACCTACACACCCTTACTGACATTCCCCAAAGATCTTCAGTCGACTTAACTTTAATATCTTTAAACGCTTTTATCACTGCTAGCGGGTTTGTATATTGAAATCGAAAATTTGTTGAACATTCCTCGACATTACTTTTAAGAAGATCGATAGATAGTGCTGGTGATGATTTCAACGCTTCCGTAGTTTTAAGCGGAATATTTTTAAAGAAATCCTCGAATTCCTGGGCAACTTTCGAATCTGCACTAATACGTCCATTTACAGTATTTAAATTAAATTCAGTGTTAGGAGATCTATTTCTACCTGTCTCGGTGTTAATTATGTTCCAGGTGGTTTTTATTTTGTTATTCGCGGTCCTAATTTTACTGCTAATGTACAGGGATTTAGCCTGCTTACAAACCATTTTAAATATTTTCGAGTATCTAGATACATTACTGCGAAAATCATCACTATTATTAAATTGTTTCATACCATATAACTCAAATAACTTTTCCCTACTTTTACGAATACCCGGTGTAGCCCAGTCACAGAATAGAAATTTACATTGAATGTTTTTACGTTTTAAAGGGAACATTTTATCGAATTGTGTTTTAACAATGGACAATAAATTGGCATAAATCTCACTAGAGTATTCACTAGCATGTATTTGGCCGCATAATTCATTTTTCAAGTTGTGGTTTAATGACTCAATTTTTTTATTTGTAATTTGCCTAAATAGAATTTTCCTTTTTTGTACAGTTGTTGTAGTGTTAAAACTGACTGTCAGGCCACTGTGATCAGATGGTAATCTGTTTACAATGTCTTTATTTATATAATTACAGTTACAAAAAATATTATCTATACATGTTGCCGAGGTGGATGTTACTCGGGTGGGCTCAAAGAAAACATTAGACAAGTCGAAAGATTTAAATAGACTTAACAAATTAATACTATTCGAGTTATTCTCCAAGAGATCAACATTAAAATCGCCACATACTATGGTTAACTTACTATTGGAACACGTTTTCCGCAGTACATCCTCCAACACTGAGCTAAAAATATTTAGGTTTTGTATAATAGGAGGTCTATAAACACATACTACAATATGCCTATCCAGCTCAACACAGGACAACTCTATTGTGTGCTCTATCGATAGTGATGCAATGTCATGCCTTTCCTTATATTTCATTGAATTCTTTACCAAAATCAGACTGCCACCATGTATCATGGTTTGACGGCTATAATAATTACCAACACAATAGTTTTCAAGATTAATGGATTTTACTTGATAGTCCTTCAGCCAATGTTCAGTTACACAAACAAGATCATATTTAAATTTTTCTAAAAATAATTCAATTTCTAGAACTTTAGATGAGAAGCCCTGCATGTTTTGACTAAACAATGTTAACACAGAGTCTTGTCTATTCTTATGTATAGCTAATAAAGCTGCAGACTTAAATATACCGCCAGAAGATAACTTATCAATGCATGAAACTTTTGTGTAATTTGCTTGGTTATCTTCTGTTGTCTCAGACATTAGTTTAAAAAGTTAGCCGGAGTACTACCCACATTTATAGTCGAATTATGAGTCTCCTTTGTAAAATCATTTATACAATTAATCTCTATATTATTAGATTGTCTAGATAATATAGATTTGTCACTTAAACTACTTAAAACTAAATTAATACTATTTGCTAGCAAACTAGCAAGTAAAACTTTACATTTCTTAGGAATAAACATGTATTCCTTGGTCAATTTAAAACCACTAACAAATTTGTTAGTGTCAAAAAATATTAATTTGTCTTTATGACAACATGTCAGCATAAATATTAAATTATTCAGATAGTGAATATGTTTATTTTGTGATTCTGACAAAGTGTCAGAATATGGGAAAGCACATAATATCACCCTGATATCCAATTTTAATAAGGTGCTGATACCATCCACTATATCACGCTTTTTTACTCTAGTACTATCTCCCATCAATAATACTACTGGCTGGTTTGCTGTGATACATTGTTTTTGTATTTTTTGTATCATCGGGCCAAATTTTATATTATGAAAACAGTTATTAGTAACACTATAGTTGAGGCAATTTGAGATAAGTGACCCAATACCTGCTCCTATTGAGTCAGTGAACACACTAGCATTGTTGTTTACATTTGGTGGTATAGATATATTATGCTCCGGCTCCGGAGGCATGGTGTGGGTACAGCTACAAGCAAGGTTATTTGCTAGAGACTCGTATCTCTCAGCACTATAGGTAACTAGGTCTACTAGCTTACCCGCCTCAATCATGTGTTTATTAATTTCAGATTGAGCGGATTCATATTTTTGGAATATCTGATTTAAAAACATTTCTCTTTCCAAGAGCTCTTTTCGCAGAGCTCGAGTGTCCAATTCATAAATGGCCCTACTTTGTTCTAATTCACTAGAGCAAGAATTTAATTCACTAATTAAATTAACTTTTTCTTTTCTTAACTTTAAATTTAATTTTGAAAGATTTTGCCTCTTTTTAATTTTCTTAATTGTTTTATTTAACTTAATGTATTTTTTAATTTTGTTATGACTACTTAATAAGGGACATGCTGTGATGGTATCATCACCAGTCAAGTCTATTGTAACGGCTGGCTCACACACGTCACCAGATCCACTCCCAACCAACTCATCGTATAGACTCCGAGTGTTCACTAATTGAACAGATTGTTTCGCAGCCTCTAGTCTACGTATAGTACTGTGGGCCTCTCTCAGCTTATGCTCTAGTTGTGTTATTTGTGCTAGAGCATGTTCATGAGTGTCGCTACACTGCTGGAAGGTAGCAACTTGATTAATTAATTGACTATGTTGTTGTAGTAGATCTGTGTGACACATATGTAGTTCAGCTAATTCATTTTTAAGTTTACTGTTTTTGTTTATAATGTTTGTCACTTCCACTTCACTATCGTCCCGTTCCTGCAGTAGTTGGTTGCACAGGTGCTTTGATGACTCCAGCTCCTTCAGCGCTGCTCTTAGTTTGCATTCCATTTCCTTGGATCTCGTCATCATACTGACAGGGATGAAATACTCTGAAATAGAAGAAAAAAAAAGAACAGCAAAAAGACAGGGAAGATGATTTGAAGTGAGGGAAATTGGTGTAATAATGTATAAGAAAACAAAAGGGAAAATGATAGTTTAAATTTAAATTATTAAGTATGTATGATGATGAATTTAATAATTTATTAATAATGTAGGTAGGAGGTAGGTGCAAACAAAGGAACTACAATAATTTAAATTTTAGTTACTTAGGCTTAAAATCGTCATTAAATTAGGCTTATTGACATAGTTTACACTATTAGTTAGTTTATCTTATATTAAAGTAACAAACTTAGTAAAGGTTTTTGTAAAATTTCTTTGTTTGTGGTAGAAGTTGTTGTCGTCGCGTTCGACAAATTGTCACGCAAACTGAGCACAGATCTTTATGATTACGGTGTTTTTATTGGTGTATAAGGATATATAACAAGAATTATTACTTATACTCCCCTGGTTTAAAGATTTAAATTTAATTTTTGCTTCGTCCGTAGACCGTTGACAGCTCGCAGGAACTTTCAATTTTGTGGATGTAGTTTTATCAATATTACTAGGAAAACACTATCTATAGTACTTTTACACGTAATTTAACATATTTTTACGTATTTAAAGCTATAATATTACTTCACGAATTAATATTACTTCTACGAAATTTCACAATACCAATGTCGATCGATCAGAATTGAATTCAAGAGTAAGCCCCCAGACCAGAGCCCAGCTGCTTATTGTCACTTGTCTCAGGCTTTTGATGTTGTTATTGTTTGTCGAACGTACGTAGGTCGCTACAAATAGATAATATAATACCGGGTAAACCAAAATTTTGTGAATCACACAAAGAGTTGTTCCGTGCAGGAACAGAGCCCGCTACGTGTTCCACGGCAGCCAGTTACCCAGCACCCGCACCATCCGTGCAGTCATACAGACTGTACCTCTAAGTCCGTAATCCTGTAGGACACAATTTAATAAGAATTACCCTGAGTCACTTTACCGCCAGGGACCTTTTTGGGACTGTGCTGCCATTGGACACAGCTACAACTACTAACATGATGTTACACAGATTAAACATAAAGAGCGTCCTAGGCAAGCACCTCATATAGGCGCCCCTGATTTTTTTTTGGCACCGCCGTGTCGTTCAGTATCCTGGCGCTCTAGCCTCTTGCCAAGTTTGCTTTAGGGATAGTACGGCTCCGATCTCACGGCATACTGGTACCATCTGGTAAGCAGCGTCATATCGTATCCGAGGAAGTGGGACCCTTGGACATATATGATAGTGCAAGATAACATCGTTGTCGAAATCTACGGACATTAAAATAAAAATTAGGCATCTACTCTATTGGAGCATACATGTTTCGTTGAAGATCCATAGCATGAAAACTTACAGCCTGGATAGACGTTATACCTATATACCTCTATATAACTTCACGCCTCTCTCCCGTGGGGGTAGGCAGACACTAGAGAACGCCAATTACTATGATTCCTACATACCTCTTTCGCTTCATCAACAGTCATCAATCTTCTCATGCATGCTCGTCGGTTAAGGGTACTTTTAATCGATGGATCACGTCGTCCCACAGCCAACCTATTCACTCGAGCCTTGAAGACACTAGGTTATTATACCCTTCAGGAAATACAGACTCTGGCAGAACTACTTCTACTTTCAACTTTCATACCATCGGAATTGTATAAAAGGACCATTTCAAGAAACAAAACAATATCTCGTATCTCATAATAAATTATTTATTTTAATACATGCAGTACTTATAATTACTAATAAATTATTCTTACACTAGCTTTTACCCGCGGCTTCTCCCGCGTCACAAAAGGATAAAAAGTAGCTTAAACTGTCAAACACCAAGCGGTCACCGGTGACCGCAACCTATTGTTCTATAATTGTGTCTACGAAACCGGTACTCGACGAGTTAAGTGACATATACCAACACACACAGCGCCATCTATAGCAATATTTTTGTTTTCCCTCGGGAATATCAAATTTTTCCGGGATGAAATGTACCCTATTATTTAATCCGGACTTCTAACTTTACGTCTGCAAAAATTCAAAGCGATTGCTTTACGCCGTAACTACTAAACCGATTGGTTTAGTAGTTACGGCGTGAAAGCGGAACAAACAAACAAACTCACTTTCCGATTTATAATATTAGTAAGGATTACTGTTACCTACTACCACAATTAGACAATCTTCATCCTTCAAAAGATACACATCACGATATACAAGACCAGTACCTATGAATTTGCCGTTGAATGTCCAAAAAGGTTATATAGGTATACAAAGTTAGACAATGATAAACAGGTTAGTATAAATTACAATGTTGGAGGTGGTATAGGGAATTTCCTGGATAATTTGCCTCTGGGCTGAGGAGCTGCTGATGGTAGACCTCCAGACATCATTGGAACTGGAGACAGAACTGAAGACGGTCCAGACATAAGCAGATTATCACGAACTAGCACTTTATTCTGAGAAAATTCTGGTTGTACTAAAACTATTTGTTGTTCTGGCGCCTTTCTGTGTACCATTCTTAACGATGCATCGTTATTATCAATCATTATTTTAGCGGGTAAATCGTTATTTCTAACAATTACTCGTCTAGGTACTGTGTCTACACCATTCCGGAATAAAATTGTTTTTGGTGACACAGTATCTTGAATGAGAGCAGTTTTTAGTGAAACCGTATCCATATTTTGAATTAAAACAGTTTTTTGATGGTTTTGGTTGACAGTTCTGGGAGTGTTGCCAATTATTGCGTATCTCCTATTGACCTTTATTGGCATGTTTGACCGAACCATGTTGCTAATGGAATCCATTGTATTTTTGATCGATTGTCCTGGATTTTTTGGTAGCATAGTTTCTAGAAATATTATTTCATTCAATGGTAAGTTTTGACTGAGCGCTGATGTGGAGATTAGGGCTAGGCATAATGCTAGATGTGAGAGCTGCATTCTTTGTCTGAAACAAATTAAAATTAATTAATGGTGAAATTTAAAAAAAAATGTATTTCGACCGATTGTCTATAACCACCTATCAAGGCATAGACAAAGGCCTGGAACTCTTTGATATTTGATTTAAAATTAACATAAAAATAGTTTGATTATTTTATACTTTATATTGAACTATTTACTTATCGATTCGACTCGATCATTGTGGATTATGTACCGACTTACAAAAGTTACAACTAGCTACTTTCTAGAGGTATATCACATTTAATCGATTAAATCTTACCTTCTCTGAAGAGCCGTCAAACTAAGTATAAGTAATTAAAATTCAAAGAAATCTAATTTATATGAAACCAGAATTCTCAAAATTATCACCTAGGTACATTTGTTGCAACAAAATTATCAGTTTTATGATTTATTTTTTTATCGAAACGTGGTTTATCGTTAACGTAGTTCGGTCTGTGTGTTGGTCGATTAATCGCAAATGCGGCTGTTAATTTCGGGTTTCAATTCTCACGTAGGTTAGGTATTTCGGATTTTATTTTAAGTAACTAAAAATCGCGGGTTACTCACGTGAATAAACTGAGAAAATATCAAAAATGTGGAACGCTTACTTGCTTCGGTATATACTAAAATTGGAAAGACACAGAGAAGATTTAGCATGGCCCCTGCGCAAGGATGACACGCATAATGGTGAAGCGTTCCATATTTTTAAGCTTTTCTCAGTATATTCACTTGAGTAGGTAACCCGCGATATTTAGTTAATTTAGTACGTCTCACGATAGTTATTATAAAAACTTCTTAGTAATAACATGGAGTTCGGATTTGAACTATCCATCTCAGTCCACTACTAGAGGTAGAATAATATAATAATAAATCATAAATTTTATTAATTTGTTCTATCTTATGACATAGTGATGTAGACCTTGAGAGACTGGTTCTACATATGGTTTTGCGTAGTTTAAGTGACAATGCAATGATGTAAGTCAGGAACCCAAACTAGGATAACCTATTTTGGTTTCTGACTATCCCTCATGAACAGAATTAGAATGACCTCATCAACATAAGAGGGATTATCATAATCTTGACGCTTGAACGGGATACAGGATAAGAAAGAAAACCATAAAATTAAATTAAATTTCAAGAAATATTTATTTTATTTATTAACCTATTAAAATTCCTTCAATAAATTCACAAGAAAGGCGGCTGCAATGTAACTTGACGCAAATATTTAGGGTTACATCCGCAGCCGGGCATACCACACCCACAACCACAAGACGGCACCTCTATCGTTGGTAACACGCTTCCGTATGATGGCACCTGCATACCCAGACAATTGCAAGGGCCCGAACATCCACATGAAGACAGGCTCCCACAATTACAGGGGCCGTTACATCCACACGGCAAAACTGAAAGTCCGCATGTGCAGACATCATTACAGCCACAAGTTGCTGCAGGCACTCCGCAACTGCAAGGGCCAGAACATCCACAAGCTGCTACAGGCCCCCCCAAACACGAACAGGGCCCATTACATCCACAGCTTAGTGCAGAAAGACCACATGAACAGGGCCCCATGCATTCACAAGACGACAAACCAGCACAACCACAGGGGCCCACACACCCGCAAGATTTCGGTACCGCACAGTTACAGGGCCCCGGACAACCACAAGCAGGCACATATGACGGCACATCGATGAGAGCACTTATACCATAAGAATATGCAGGCGTTTGAATGCTAGCACATCCACATTTTGCATCAATAGCAGCAGGAGCGCCGCAAGGACAGGCAGGAAGTTTGACAGCGGGTACTCTACAACCGCAGTTAGGCTCACTACATCCGCAGGGGCCCCGACATCCACAGGGGCCCGAACATCCACAGGGAAGGTCAAGAACTGAAATGGGTGCCACACCATAACTAGCGACCTCAAAGGTTGAGAATAGGTTTCCTAATGGGTTGATCTCAATAGGTTCAACATATCTATAGTTAGGAACGTCAATCACAGGAGCAGGCAGGCTCACAGGTCCATAAACAGGTTCTATAATAGAGCCTCGAGAGCCTAAAGTCAGGATGTCTATTATGGAGCTTTGACATCCACAGCCAATGCCGAAGTTTTGAAGATCCGATTTCTTGATTTTGGTTTTAGAGATCTTTTTGCGAGCATCGACCTGAAACAGAATTCGTATATCTATACTAATATATATCTTATATTCTTATCAATACATAGTATAAAACAAAGTCGCTTTCGCTGTATGTCCGTATGTATGCTTAGATCTTTAAAACTACGCAACGGATTTTTTTTTAATAGATAGAGTGATTCTTAAGGAAGGTTTGTATGTATAATACATGCATATTGCACCCGTGCGAAGCCGGGGCGGGTCGCTAGTATTATATAAAGCGGAAGAGTTTGGTTTTTTGTTTGTTTGTTTGTTTGTTTGTTTGAACGCGCTAATCTCCGAAACTGCTGGTCCGATTTGAAAAATTATTTCTGTGTTGGATAGCCCATTTATCGACGAAGGCTATAGGCTATAAAATATCACGCTACGATTAATAGGCGCCGAGCAGAGCGAGTGAAACCGCGCGAAAGTTGCTAGTTTAGTTATAATGTATTAATACTCTTACTTAAAGTCATGACTCTCGAGATAGAGGCTGACAGTGGTGTACAATATAATACCGACTTCTGTCAGTTGTTACAGTCGCATGCAATGAGGGAAAGCTTCTTGCCATGTAAGTAATTGTCATAATTCCAAACTCTGCTATAATCTACAGATAATTTCTTTAAAAAAAAAAAAGACGAAGATCCCCAAATATCTTTGCGCGATCATGGAATCGAACCCCCTTGCTCGGTATTTGCACTAGTTATTTCTCCAAGACTGTCTTGGAAAAGAGATTAAATTATGATTAGGAATAAACACTGTTATTAAAATACTTACGATTATACAAGAAACGATCAGAATCACGATCGAAAACTTCCCGAAATACATTTTTGTAACTCTAAAAATTAAATAACGATAATACTTTTAATTATTATAAATATCAAATGAAACTATGCATAAATGAAATTAAAGTGTCTTTTTATACCTAAAATATTTGTCAATATATATTTTTGATTGATTAATACTGATATACTTACCAACTAAATTGCGTTAAATAAATCGATAATAATATCGACTTACTTAATAACTTAATCGGCGAAAGAGTTACTGTATCGATTCTTTAGTTTCTTAATCGAGTAACATTGTTTACACAAGTTTGTTCACGCGTTCAATAATCTCTGCCTACCCTCATGAAAGAAAGGTGTGTGGTTATATAGCGTGTCCTTGAAGTCGACGATCACATGGCACCAGGTGATCGGTATCTGAACTTCAAAGAGTTATCAGAAAAATATGAAAAACAAATCTAAGTCATAGAGGTATATAGCTTTAAATTACTATGACTCGTGTGTTATCCACGAAAAAATACATGCTGTCCCAGACTCTTGACTCTTGCTGCTACAATTATTTATTTTTTCGTCTGTGCGTCTCGGCTCCAATATTATGGAATCACATATACCTACTGCGCCATCAGCTTTAATTTAGAAAATAATACCAGTTTGTGACAAACCAAATATTCTCAATAAACTTGAGTGTACCTACTGAAAAAAATGTAGGTACTTTACTAGTAGGTAAGTAGTGGTAAATTACACCAAAGTTGGCGTATTTAATAGGGATTTTAAAATGGTATGCCACTCCCTACATTAATTACTTAAATTCGTCACAAAAAACATTTTTAAACGAAACTCCGTTTCTTACAATTTATTTGGACTTACTTTAGTGTACCCAAAGAGCACCTAAAAACTTCGTATCTACTAGGTAGTCGCGGAGAACCTAACGGGTTACCGGGGCTCCGGCTCGACGTGCAGGAGAAGGAACGGGGTGGTTTTTAGTAAGTAAGAGTCTGACACTCCCTCCCGCCTCACCCAGCCGTGAGCAGTAATTCGATGATTTACCCCCCTTAAAAATTGAATAAAACATAGGCTTTCTTGTCCCACAGGAACGTGGGTAGAAGTTAGTATAATATGCCTTATTCCACGAAGTGATAGGCAGAGACAATTACCCGAGCGTACGGCGCGTCGCGTTCCGCGCGCGCCTCAAAGAGCCATCAGACCACCACAGATGGGGCCCAATAGGGCCGATGCCGATTCGGAGTCGCGGAGAACCTAACGGGTAACCGGGGCTCCGGCTCGACGTGCAGGAGAAGGAACGGGGTGGTTTTTAGTAAGTAAGAGTCTGACACTCCCTCCCGCCTCACCCAGGCGGGAGCAGTAATTCGATGATTTACCCCCCTTAAAAATTGAATAAAACATAGGCTTTCTTGTCCCACAGGGACGTGGGTAGAAGTTAGTATAATATGCCTTATTCCACGAAGTGATAGGCAGAGACAATTACCCGAGCGTACGGCGCGTCGCGTTCCGCGCGCGCCTCAAAGAGCCATCAGACCACTACAGATGGGGCCCAATAGGGCCGATGCCGATTCGGAGTCGCGGAGAACCTAACGGGTAACCGGGGCTCCGGCTCGACGTGCAGGAGAAGGAACGGGGCGGTTTTTAGTCAGTAAGAGTCTGACACTCCCTCCCGCCTCACCCAGCCGTGAGCAGTAATTCGATGATTTACCCCCCTTAAAAATTGAATAAAACATAGGCTTTCTTGTCCCACAGGAACGTGGGTAGAAGTTAGTATAATATAGGTATCATCATGCCTTATTCCACGTAGTGATAGGCAGACATTCAATATAACACCAACTATTCACCAGTTATAATATTTTATGTAAAAGGGGGGCGAGCGTGATATACTGGCTATATTAATTTTGTTACTATAGTTACAAACAAAATTAATGTAAAATATAAATTTAAAATTGTAAAAATTATGCCCTACCTAGGAATGGGGGCTATCGTATTTTTGGTCACCAGATCACAGATGGCGGAAATACAACAAGACCTCCCCTCCCCAGTCTCTGAATCCCCCACAATCCTCACATTCCCAATTCCCAAAAGGCCAGTTACTTGTAAAGCCTCTGGTGTTTCAGGTGTCAATGGGCAACGCCGATTGCTTACCATCAGGTGATCGGTCCGCTCGTTCACCGGCTTATACCATAAAAAAAAAAGCAAGAGGTATTACTCACGTGAATATACAGAGATTAATATATATTGATGATATTAGACAAAAAACGTGGGGTTTACACTAGCGCCACCTGTTGAGCAAAAATACGGCCCCCCTTGAAGTGTACCTACATTAAAAGGGAATACAAAAAAAAACAAGAATTTTATCAACATGGTATATAATGACCATAATTTAATTTTCTACACTATTCACAATAAACAGCAGCTTCTAAAGTTATTTTTTACGCATGGCAACATCAAGTTAGTAGTTATAATATATTTTATAATATACATTGTACGTACCTACTAAAATATTTCCATTACTGTCAAACACCAAGCGGTCACCGGTGACCGCAACCTATTGTTCTATAATTGTGTCTATAATGACGGTACTCGACGAGTTAAATGTTTTGAGCACATCCATATATAACTATTGTAGGAAAGTAATTTTATAGTGTACTTGTAATAAAATATATTATTTTAAGCTAATAGGAATAATGTAGGTAGTGCATTAGTCTTATCTGTTTCATACTTTTACTATCTGTATTCTCTATGACTACTGTCAAAAGTGGCGCCAAAATGTAAGTTTGTAAGTTTGTACTTCCGTCTTTTAACCTTTTGAACGCCAGAGCAAAAACGCATGAACTTGCCCTCAACGCCAGGCCACAAATTCACCGCAAATACCTACGAAAAAAATAGGGATTCCAAAACTTCATCGATAATCAATTTTATTTTCATTTTCGTCTTTAATTTCGAAATATAATGTCCTTATAACATTGAAATTTAATTCAACATTACATTTCTTCCTATTAAAGTAATAGTTATACACTATTTACAGACTTGTATAATACCGTAATAACAGATATGAGACTACAATATATTTAAATATAATAACTGTAGGTACAACACTGCTGTCTTCATATTGTGACCATGGCGTGGACGGCCCGCCATTTTAATAACTACTTCGCTTCCGAAATAAGGATGTGGCAACGTAATATCTCGTTTATCGATGTTCTAGTACAATATTATTTTATAATAAATGAAACACGTTTTTTAAATCAGATTTATAATTCCGAATGTAACAGGTACTTAAAAATATATGATTGAAATAGGTTAAGAAGGTAAATAAAAACTATGAAAAAATAGAAAATTTTAATAAAATGTTATACAGTATGTACTATGTATACATGTTTTTAAATATTAAGTTCTATAAACCTGGCATAAAAAGTAACAAATTAAAACAATTAACGATTATATATAATTATCACAATTACCAATCAGTCTTATACTAATAAATCTTTTGAATAATAGAGCAAAATTATACAAAATCTACAATGCAACCTGCATTCTGAACTCTGAACTCGATATCACAAGTAAATTAATCATAAATATTATTCATTCACTTCACTAATTTCTGGTCGCCGCGCTTGTGACGTCACGATATTGTCGTCTAGTCGTGACCATGGCGTACAGGGTACTGATAATTCGGGTTGCGTTAGGGATGCGCTCGAGTTGGGATTAGTGAATATCGAAATTCGACCCAACCAAATTTTATTTTTGACTATGTAGCTTATTGAATGATTTTTAAGACTGGTTTTATAAAATTAATGCTGCTTTATCCTAGTACCAAATTATACCTAAAATAATATATTCCAGAGGAAAGTTTCGCATCGATCTTTGATTTAAAATAATGATATTATCCAACATGCGCTACATCACTAGCGGTCACGCATTTATGACTCTGGCGTGTGAGGACATTCTTTTTTCAGAGTTTATTTCTTTCTTTTTAACGTAAAATTTCTCAATATTTATAATGCAATTTAATTAGTTTTATGGAAATAAATAAATTTTGGACCTTCTATTTTACAGGTATATAAATAAATAGGCATTAAAGTAATGTTTAAATAGTTTATTTCGTGTTTTAATGTACCGCTGTTTTTGTCACATATTTGTGTCGTTGGCGCTCAGGGACAGTTTTCGCTTGTCACGTATTTGTGACCCTGGCGCTCAAAAGGTTAAAT